GAATTCCTTGTTTTGCTCTGCTTACGTGCGCGACTTTTGCTTTGCCTATTAAGCTGTCGTTATCTCAACCCATGAGTTTCCTCACTTTTACCTTTCTGATTTTCTTCCCCATCCCACTGAGGAGGACAGAGTGAGCAGCTGGGTGAGGCTTAGATGCCTAACCACAACACCCTGCCACCTCCTTGAGATACCAGGAAGGTTTGTGCAAAAGCTCAAAACTGATTAAAAGAAGAGGTCTGCCTGAAAAATAACATTTTTATCCAGATCAGCTTTCTGACTGCCACCAGAAGCACAATCCTGATTACTCCTTGTATGAGGGCTTCTCCTCAGTCTGTTCAGCAAGCTGTTTCATCTTGCACATAGACCTGACACATGGGAAGCACTGGAAACGCTTAGCTGGGAGTAGTAGGGAGAAGAGTGCCAGCAGCGAAGTCTTAAATTATCTTAAGACGATCATAAAATCACACTCTAAGTTAACTAGAGTACATTGTGTGAGGTATGGAGCTCATTGTTGGAGCAAATTTGTCAGCTGCTCCAGTGTACAGCATTTCTTGGGTTTTTTTAAGGCAATGATGTTCTTTCTGCCCTTTTATAAAAACCATGTTTTTGGGAATCTCGGCTTTACATAGAAGTCAGATTTTAAGAAAGTACAACGCTTGCAATCAAAGGACTCTGAACAGTATGGTGTTGGACACAGTTTGAATGCTGACATGCATTGTACATCTTTTGATTTACTGATGGGAGTTTTGTTGCATTACTACACCTTGCAACTCTGTACAGAATCTGATATTAATACCAAAGATCGGTGTCTGGGTTCTTTCCAAGTACAACGATCCATCTCTTTCTTCAGGAAAATTTTACGATTGGGAAGGACGTGCATCTTTGCAAATCTTAACTCTTCTAAGGTGGAAATCTGTAGCCATTTGGAATAATGCTCTCTCTGTGTTTCAATTTCAGGCCCTCTTCTCTTCCCTAACTCCCTAAAAAGTGAGGCGACTATTTTTTTAATTCTGCATACACTATAAGATAACAATAAAACAAATTAATGTCACCGTTGAGCATTAACAATTAATGCACCTTCCCTGTATTTCTCCACTGGACTGAATTTAGCAGCAATATAGGCTGTTACATACAGTCCCGCACCTTACTCTGGTGACCCAGGCTCATTTGTGTCAGTGGCATCACCAAACTCACTGGAGCAAATCCTGTGAGCAGCAGCTCACCATTGGGCTTCAGTTCCACACTCAGATGTTTCTGATTTCTTCTTACTGTTTCTTCTTGGGTGTTTCCAAAAGACACAGAATGACAATTGCCAGCTGTTTTCCACAGATCAGGAATATGTTCCAGGGTATAAAAATTTTCCTTCCTGTTTCTTTTATGGGTATTAGGTCTCCTGTGAGATTTAATCTCTGTGTGGTGAAGCCATTTGATCCCCTAGATGGGCAAATAGAGATAGATTGTGGCTTTTGAGTGAAGACAGCTAAGACAGTGAAGACAGTTTGAAGATGTCAAATCATGTCGATCTGTTTTGTGGCATGGACAACATGTGCAGACCAAGACACCAAGACAGCTCTCGATTTGTGGTGAACTGTGGGAGGGAAGAGGGGAAATGACAACAATTGACATCCAGGAGAATATCCCTGAAGGTGTATGCATTCACCAGCATTTTGGGGTTCTTGCCTTTCAGCAAGTTAGTAGCTAAATCTGTGGTTGAGGAGAATATTGAAGTAAGACTTCAGAAGATAAGTAGATGATATGGATTTTTTTAAAAAATAATTGAAATTCTGATTATTTCCAACTCTGCTGTTTCCAATGTAACATATGGTGTCAGCAGCATATTTTGAGGGAGAACACCAGGTTGCAAGAGCACCATGCAGCAAGAGTAAAGAGCTCATGGAGAAGACCGCAGCATTGGCAGAAAAATCCTTAGCTTCGGAGGTGTCTGTGAGGAATTGCCAAGCAGTTTGCTTGCTTGTAAGCATGGTGTGAAAGCACCTGCTGTGGGTTCCTACAGTTTGTCTGCATGAAGATTCCATACACTTTCTTCTCAGAGTTGGGGGTCTTTTTTTGCTGGGTGCTTAATATAGAGTAATGCACAGCCTCTGCTTTGACATGCCTACAGGCTCCATAAAGCCTAAGTAGAACACACGGACACAGCAAGGAGAAGGCTGTAGTGTCAGGGACATGGGATTACACAGCCAGAAACACAATGTGGCACACCCATCCCTTTCTTTTTAGCCTGTTTTTGAAGGGAAACATGATGTGAACGTGTGCCATCTTTCTTCACAGAGACACTAACTTCCCACGGGTTTCATCGGAACTGGATGAAAGGCAGTGGGACAAACCTTTGTCTCCACAGAGAAAAAAGGCTGTAATGTGAGTTCAAGTTACCTCTTCTAACCTACAACTGGTCAGCCCACAGGCAACACACATATACCTTTATACCAAGTGTGAACTGCTTCTTGTCTGCCAGGTACTTAGAGGATGAGTGAGAACGCAGCAGTACTGTGAACGAAGAGATGAGGGAAATAGGGACTGAGAGTATATCTGTGACCTAACGAATCCCTGACTCTTCGCCTGTCAGCAGCCTGAGTAAAGGAGTCAAAGAGGTTGGTTTTGGAGGATGTAATGGAAGACATGACAGTCACATAGTTCAAGAGCATTTATTCCGTAACGCTCATCACAAAAGCATGTCTCATTTGTTGACAAAGTGGTACAATAAGGCAAGATACCAGAACAAGAATGATGTTGAAGATAAGCATGTAGGCCCACAAACTTTCCCTCCATTTTAAGTTGCATAGCTGAGGTGCCCAAGATGGAAGTGGGAGTTACTTGGTTCCCACTACACCTGTGGACAGTGGAGAGTGATGGGCCTTATCTGAGGTTTGATTCTGTCTCTCACCATGGACTAGAAAAGGAGCACAGGACAGCCAGCCTCCTGCTG